CGAGCGCAACTCGCCCAGGTGCTGGACAGCGAGGTCCGCAATGCGATGCAGGGCCCTCGCGGTGATAGTGAAATCGGCCCGCAGACTTGCACGCCGAAACAAAACCGCGCGTGGCGCCCCTTGCGCTCCGAGCGCCAGTCGCGCTAGCGAGCCCGCCAGTGGGGCCCGAGACGGACGGGGCCCTTCCGCAGTCGGAGTCGGCGTCGATGGTCGCAGTAGCCACGAACGTCGCCCCGTCCGCAATAGGCGCCGCGACAACCAAGGCGAAGGCAATGTCCAATGAGAGACCAAGCGCACGCGCGAGGAAACCCCGGTGACCGAGGCGGAAAAGTCGCGGGGGAGGCCAAAGCAGAGGCCCGGGCGGGGGCGAAAGTCTTCGCGGCGCCCACAGCGACGAGAAGAGTCGCGCGCAGTTTTTGGGGCGGTGATCCAAGACGGCCAGCGCCGCGCACAGCTACCAGGGGATGACCGAGAACCACGCCCCACGGGGCGCCACGGCCAGCCCAGATGCGCCATGCGAACCCGCGGGGCTCGCGACTACAAAACGCGCCGCGCCCTGGCCCGCAAAACGCGCCGCGCCCTGGCCCGCCCCGCCCCCCCCCCCCCCCTCCCCCAGCCGCCCGCCTTTCGCTCCAAGCGCAGCGCAGTGCGAACGCCGCGCACGCGCTCGCGCGTCGCGGACGCGCCTCTTTCCATGGCAGGCGCGGCGCTGCAACCCGCGCAGTTAGATCGCAATCCGCGCAGGAAGTTCAGAGCGCCCATCGACTCAAAATCTAAGGGCTGCGTCCGCCGAAGGACTTGCGCGAATGCACCCGGCCAGGGGGGTCGCGCTTGCAAGCGCTACTTGCCTGGGCCGCGCTCGAGAAGGGCATCATTGGAAGTGCAACAAGCGGCCCCGCTGCCGCCCCCCCTCCCGCTCTCTGCGGTCACCGCGCCGCTCTCAGCGGTCACCTACGCCCCCCCCCCCGCCGATTTGGTCCCGCGACGATCTGATATTTTGCTTTGGCCCTCCTGCATCGAGCCCTCACTTTGATTTGGGCGATGCGGTCGCGACCCCTTTTCCTTCCTCCCGCCTCCATCCCCTTGTCTCCCTCCTGCCTCGCGTCGCTCTCGCGCCTCCTACTTGGCTGGCTCTTTCTTGCCTACCGGCCCGCCTTCTACCTCGCCGCCCCGCGTGGTCTCGCCGTCCCCGGGGGGCTGCGAACTGCGAGATCGTCGCCGCTTTCGGGGGCTGCTGGGGGGCCAGCAGAATGTCTCGCGCAGACTCGCCACGCTGGGGGAGGGGCGCGAACAGCGAAGGCGCCGCCGCTTTCGAGGGCCGCTAAGGCGCCCGGCGGAGCGGCACCACGCGCAGATTCAGATTGAGCGGGGGGCCGCGAACTGCGCGGCTGCCAACTCTTTCGACAGCTGTCAGGTGGGCTCAGCGGAGCGACGTCTCACGCATATTTCATCCGGCCGCCGTGCCTATGGCAAACTAGCGCTTGCCCGGGGTCGCGGCAAAGGTCTTGCCCCCGCAGCTGCAGGAGGGCGCGCCGCGCCAGCCAGCGAAGGATACTCGGCGCCGCGATGGGCCGAACTCCGCCCGCCGGTTTCCGCTGCGGCGCGAGCCATCCCCGGGGCGTCGAGAAGAGCGAGAGCGGGCTTGGCGAGGCCGATGGTCGCGCGGAGGCCACGGCCGCCGCGTGCCCATCAACGAGTTCAAGCAGCTCGCGCCCGAGCAGCGGGCGTCGTTCGTTCGGACAGCGGGGGCTGGCAAGGACGACCTGGAGCAGGCCGTCGAGAGGCAGGTCGCGCGGCGCCAGGCCCGCGCGAAGACCGGCGCCGGCGCGGTCGAGGGCGACCCCCCCGCCCGAGCGGCGGCCCCTCCCCGAGGGCTCGCTCGGGGGCGAGGTCCAGAATATGAAGCAGGAGGAGCAGCAGGGCCCCCGCCCGATGCAACAAAAAACCTTACCCGGCGAAATCCACGGGGCTTCCGAGACGGCGACGGAGGAGCTCGCGAGGGAGCGGCAGCATGACAGTTTTACCAGATAGCTCGAGCGGCGCCGCGGGCGGCCGCGCCGCCGGCGTCGGCGCGGCGGAGGAAGGGCCCAGGCGGGGGCCGAGACCGCGTTCGAGCGCAAGGCCCCCTCGAGTTCGCCACCTCCGCCCCCCGACGGTCGCTCGACGAGGCGAGGTGGCCGGGAGGAGCAAGAAGGACAATAATGAGAGGCGCAAGAAGGAGACAGCTGGGCAAGGCCAGGCCCCGCCGGACAGGGCCGGGCAGGCCCGGGAGGACAAAGCCGACCAGGCCCAAACGTCCCGGGAAGAAGGCGAGGCGCCAGACGCACGCAGACGCGGCGAAGGTGCCCGCGAAGGTCTGCCCCCCGTCGCTGCAGCTGCAGATGGCCCTCGAGCGCGGGATGGTCAAGGAGGCCGCCGAGCTCGTCGGGCAGGCCGCCGAAACGGGCCGCGCCGCTTTGCGCTTGGCCCGCCGCCCCCCCCCCCCCACCCACCCACCCGC